TAACTCTGGGCTGTTTTTTTTAAATTTGTGTACTTACTTTTTCTTTGTTAATCCTCTCTGGAGGTTATTTTTCCATTGCTTCAGAGACAGAAGGGAGAGGAAGGGAAGGAGAGTGGAGACAGAAACACAGATGTGAGACACACAGACTGGTTTCCTCCCACATGTGCCCCATGGGGGATGGGGAGTGAATCCACAACCCAGGCACATGCCCTTGACCTGGAATTGAACCCGACACTCTTGGGTCCCTGGGCCGATGCTTTAACCACTGAGCAAAAGAGGCCAGGACCAGCAGTTTTTTTTTGATAACATGCACAAAACTGGCTAAACGTTAGCTCCATCGAAACAAGAGAAACAACACTCAAATAAATCAAAGCAGAAATGAAAGACAGTACAGCTGACACTATGAACTACAAACCATCATCAGAGATGTTGGCAGATGACATACAGACAGAGCTTCTAGAAAACTGTCAAGACTCCACTATAAGCTTTGCAAATTATCAATGATGAGAGAGAATCATTGATGGGCTGCCTCTGCCAGGCGCTTCCAATGCATAACTTCTCTGAATTGTCACAGAACTCCTGGGGGAGGAGGAATTGCGTTGACCACGTTTTAAATGATTAAGCTAGGAAAGGGCATGGGCATGGCCCAGAGTGAGCTGGCACTGAGTCTCTGTCCTGAGGACCTCTTCTTTTTAAAAAAATTTTCTTTATTGATTTTAGAGAAAGATAAAATGTAGAGTCATTTGTTGTTCTACTTAATTATGCATTCAGTGGTTGCTTCTTTTATGTACTCTTATCAGAGATCGAACTCACAACCTAGATACACTGGATCAATGCTCAAAACCAACTGAGCTACCAGATCAGCACTGTCCCGAAGGTTCTCTCTCTCTCTCTCTTATTGTTCTTGAGGGCGAGCATCTCAGGGGAAGGTTTCATAAGAATATTCATCAGCTTTGCAGGCATTTGTAATACGGTAATGGTTTAGAATTAGTGTACAAGGAAGTTTGGGTTTGTCTTTTGTTCTGTTTAATGTTTAATTTTTATCTTGAGTCTGTCTGGTTCTAATGGGGTTTTTGTTATTTGTTCGTCTGACTTTACCTATCATTTGTTTAACGTTATCTTATCCTTGGGTTAACTGGCGCAAATGCCATTTATTGGATCCCTGTTCTCTATTTTCGCAGACCAGGGGGCTTCGAGCTGTGAATTCTTTGATTAGGGAGGGAGGTGTAAACTATTTATTTTCACATATTCTTATCTGGGGAAAATGAGCTCTTAGATTCACAAGCTGGCTGTTATGTTGTCCAAAATGTTTGAGGTTGTTTAATTTTCTTATCTCAGTTTCACTATCACATATGCCCAAGAAGTTTTGTAGTTTCTTATCTGCCGCAATGGTAGGTCAAAAGAGAAGTCTCAAACTTGCAGAAGAAATCACTTCAAGATTCTTACCTGATCACAATATAAGAAACTAGAAATCAATTCCAGTTTCAAGAAAGCTGGAACTTCACAAATATGTTGAAATTAAATATAACACACTCTTAAACAACCAGTGGGTCAGTGAAATTAAAAAAGACCTTAAAGCGATCTAGAGGCACCTGGCCAGTGTTGCTCAGAGGTTGAGCCTAAACCCAGTAACGAAAATGTCACTGGTTATATTCCTGGTCAGGGCACATGCCCAGGTTGTGGGCTTCAATCCCTTCTATGGGCAACCAGGAGGCATCCCACCAATGGGGCAACCAGGAGGTAGCTGATCGATGTTTCCTTGTCACTGATGTTTCTATCTCTCTAATCCTCTTCCTCT